GTGGAATTTTTGTCATTCCCCTGCCCTGTCTTGTCTGTCCAACTCCTGTCGATCCTCCACTGTTGCTTCATTCTGGTGGCTATTAATTACACTTTGGTCTTTGTCCCTTCCCTTCTTCTTTGCCCCATCTTCTCTTCCCTTGTCTTTCTCATTCCTGCTCAGGGTCCCTTTTCTTCTTTTCTCTCTACTTGGGGCGGGGGGCAGGGTGTGGAGGGTTAGGGGAGAGATGTTTGTACTGTGGCCATGCGGGGGCGCCCCTGAGCATGGGAGTCTGCCTAGCCACAGGAATGACGCAGAACAGTATTCTGAACTTCCTTCCTCACACTAGTCAGACCAACAGGAAAGGAAGGGAACCCAGTGTCAGAGTCACACCAGGTTCTGTCTTCTTGCTCCACATATCCAGTCCTAGCCTCAGCTGAGTATCAGGTGGAAGCCAGCTCAATACAGAATGAAAACAAAGGCCTAAAAACCCCCACTGAGCTCTAGTGTACATACACATTTCAGCTTGATTATTTTTCTGAAACTGAACATATAGTCAACCAGCACCGGGATGAAGAAACAACATAACTACACCCCAGGAACTCCTGGTCCCTCCTCACAGCAGGAGTATCCACTATCCCAGTGGTCGGCAAACTCATTAGTCAACAGAGCCAAATATCAACAGTACAACGATTGAAATTTCTTTTGAGAGCCAAATTTTTTAAACTTAAACTATATAGGTAGGTACATTGTTATTAACTTAATTAGGGTACTCTAAGCTGGCCTTTGCTAAAAATGTCCTCAATCTGATTGAGGTACGTTTGCTGAGGTCGACCCCTTCCAATTCTCCCATCCACACTCGTATACTTGTTTCGTCTATCTCCTTTCGTTCATCCTCTCTAGATGTCCAAACCATCTCAACATACCTTTCTTAATCCTCGACACTACATCTTTCACTCCACAACATTCCCTAAAATTAACTTAATAAACTTTAAAGTTTTAAGTCAATTTCGCACTGTACGTGCGCGCCCGCACATGGTATTTTGTGGAAGAGCCACACTCAAGGGGCCAAAGAGCCGCATGTGGCTTGAGAGCCGCGGTTTGCCGACCACTGCACTATCCCAACATGCATTAGCACAGATTAGTTCCTCCCCATGCCCCCCTTTAGGGAGGGGCTACATGAAGTTGTTTTTTAGATTTTTTGTGTGAATTTGAGCCAAATTGTCAACAGTTGCTGGGAAGCAAAACTTAATGGATTGAGATAATGCTCTGCATAAAGTTGTTTTTAAGAACATCTTATTTATTGATTTTAGAGCAAGAGGATGGGAGACATTGATTTGTTGTTCCACTTATTTATGGCTTCATTTTTTTTCCTTTTATATTTTTATTGATTTCAGAGAGGAAGGGAGAGGGTGCTAGAAACATCAATGATTAGAATCATTGATCTGCTGCCTCCTGCACGTCTCCCCCCTACCCCCCAGGGGATTGAGCCTGCAACTCGGGCATGTGCCCTGACTGGGAATCAAACCATCATCTCCTGGTTCATAGGTCAATGCTCAACCACTGAGCCACATCTGCCAAGCTTAATAGTTGGACTTTTCAGAGGAAAAGGAATGGAGGATAGTTTGCTCTGAGCAGAGAGCAGGTAAGGGAGGAACTTGAAACATGTGTCCTGAGAGCACCAGGTGGGAGGTGGAGATGGGGCAACAGGATGAGGCATATGTGATCAAATCTCAAAAGAACACACATTTTATTCTGAGGCACAAGAAGCCGTTGAAGGGAGGGGTGTTCGCCAGGCAGTGGGAGGCCTGGAGAGGCAGACTTAAAGGAGTGGGCCTAGATGCTTTTTACATCAACTAATTGGGAAATGGAAGGAGAAACTGAGTTTAGCCTGCAATTGTTTTCGGAGATGGTTATGTGAAAGATTTAGACCAGGACAGATGTAGGGCTGACAGGTAAGTAGGACTAACTTGGTCTCAAAGGATGCTCCCAGGGACACTGATTCTGAGTAGCCTCCAGAGCCTGTGGGGCCAGCTGAATTCTAGGGTGACTACCCAGCAAGATGGTGTGTGAGGCACGTGTTTATCTGAGGGCATTTTTGATAGCCAGTATGTGCCATTGTTCTCATTTCTTTTTAGAAGGCTTCAAGCAAGCAAACACGAGGCCATTTGACAAAGGGCTTATCATAGCTCAGGGCTGCTGTCACCGCTGCCTGCTCATTCTCTACCTGGGGAACAGGGCAAAATGCCTAATAGACATGCAAGTGAAAAATGCTTCGAGACTGTGTAACATACTAATCTTTGGAATACTATGTTAATAAGCAAACAGATCAAGATGCTTAATCAACTTCTCAGCTAAGTTTAACTGCTTTTCATACAACCTAGACTAAATGTTATGAGCAGTGACTGCTAACTAGACATCAAGAATACATTGCTAAATTTAAATTAGAACTTTGAAAGCTTCCCACTTTTTAAAAATAAAGCCTAATGAAAATCTAAAATGGTTCTTCAACAAATGTATTTAGTTAACAAGAACTTGGTCTATGTTAAGAGAAGTTATATGGTGATAGGGCCACGCTTGTCAAAATTCACCTGGTATTCTCTTGAGTAGTCAGAATGTCTCCACTGTCTGGGGAGAGAGCAAAGTTGAACTGAGTAGCCAACCATGGGCTTTGGGCTCCACTGACAGTACAGAACTCTATTGGTAGTGGGGGAAGCTCTGCAGTGGACGTGCAGTAACCAGTGATTCTAAATTGCAGATCCTGTAATGAATGAACTTGTGTATTGTGATAACTTAGATCTTGAGAGAACAAAAGTATGTGTGGATGTTAAGGTCATGGCTCAGCATTTATTGTGCTTGTTTGTGCTCTTGGGCAGGGGCATGTCACCAAAGTTACTCCAAGAGACTGCAGTAAGTGGCCACCTGGACCCTTCGATCAGATAGATATTTCCTGGGACCCATGTACAGGCCAGTATGCCAGGGTTGCCAATACAGGGACAAATCTAAATGATTAAACACAGAAGAATTAGCAAGCTTCTTACCCACTGGTGCCAGAAAATTTTATTTACCTGGTGATTAAGCATCATGAAATGTTAGCATCGCGTGTTTATGCTTGCACCGAGTCACTTCCTGATTTCTCCAGACCATCAGTTATAATGGAAAATATGGTCAGTGACGGGAGGAGCATGAAAAATAGAACGTGGTCTCAGTTCTTCCGGTTCCAAGTCCCAATTCTCCACTAACAAGGTCTGTGATCTGAGGCAAGTCACTCAACATCTGTGCGTGGACTTCTCTACCTATTAATGATGCTAGTGATTTTTATATTACTAATACTGTCCTACCTCCTTTATGTGTAGTTATTAGGTAAGATGGTAAAGGTCTTTATAAAATATGAGGCACTAAAACTATTATAACATGTAGCTCATTTAGCAGATGACCAATCATTCTCATCTGCTTTTCTTTTGATTTGTTTCTCTGTACACTAAGTTGTATTAGTTTGAGTTCTGGCAGGAAACAGATGTAATGCTCATGGGGTAGCTGAAGCATTCTGGGCTAGCAGCAGTGAGGTGCAACTACCAGCTGTGGGTCTGAAGGGACAAATGGAGAGAAGTTCCTGGAACCCAGAGAGCTGTGTTCCAACAGAAGCTGTTGGAATGCAGCCACAGCCGAGCAGGAGAGGAGCCAGGAACAACAATTCCATCTCTCCTGCCCTTTGCTTTCCTACCGGTAGGTCCTCCTGGCTAAACCCACTGTGGTAGGGAGCCAAGAGGTCAGCTTGGGGAACACAAGAGCAGGTGAAAAGGGCACACAGGTGGATCTGTGGGCAAACGAAAGCCCCCCAGCAAAGCCATTAGGGCTGATCCCAATTCGATCCCTTTTTCCTCACCCAAGATTTAAGTACATGTTCGTGCAGCTGGTTTGTCCCTACGGTAGCCAAGCATCATGATCAAATCATTAATATCAACGACCATACCAGGTTCTTTCTGGTTTATTGTTTGGTAGAAAGACATGCTCTTTAACATCTGGTATAAACATCTCACAAACTGCTTCTCTTAGACAGTCAAAGCCTATTTTCTTTGAGATGGGGCCCTTGAATCTGACATTCAAGTCCCCATGATAGAAACAGGAGCTGCTGTGGCTAACATTTTGAAGGATGCCTCAACAAAAGGCACACGAAGGCCTGCTTAAAACCTAGGGCTAGACCAGCTGTGGGCAAACTACGGCCCTCGGGCCGGATCCGGCCCGTTTGAAATGAATAAAACTATAAAAAAAAAAGACCGTACCCTTTTATGTAATGATGTTTACTTTGAATTTATATTAGTTCACACAAACACTCCATCCATGCTTTTGTTCCGGCCCTCCGGTCCAGTTTAAGAACCCATTGTGGCCCTCGAGTCAAAAAGTTTGCCCACCCCTGGGCTAGACTCTAGCTAGCCTCTAAAACAGTGGTTCTCAACCTTGGCTGCACATTAGAATCACCTGGGAATCTTTTTAAAATCCTGATTTCTGGGCCTCATCCTCCAGAAATTGTTTCTTTGTTACTAATGTTGTGGCCCCACCCCATAACAAAGAAACAGAATTTCCAGAGGATGAGGCCCAGAAATCAGGATTTTAAAAAGATTCCCAGGTGATTCTAATGTGCAGCCAAGGTTGAGAACCACTGCTCTAAAACGATCCACCTTTCTGCCCAATGCCCGTGAATGATAAAGAAAAGGAGAATCACAAACATTTGTTCCTGATACTGAGTGTGAGAAGGCCAAACTCCAGCCTCAAATCTTTCTCTAGAAACTCGAGGAAAAGGACTTTCCTCTTCCCCTTCTCTCCAGCTGGCGTTCTCAAGTACAGATGCATGTCTTTTTGGGACCCAGGCACTGACTAGCCTAACAGTCTCATTAGGCTTCTTGAAAGGGCTTTTGGTGAAAGAAGCTTTAATTTAGGTATTGCTAATCTTCAGCCCTTAGAAAAAGTAATTTTTGTTTTATAAAAGGGGGAAGGGACTATTCTAAGGAATTCAACAAAAGGAAATAGGTACCTTTTATGAAAAGGACTTTCAAGCTCTCTGAGCCCACAACTTAACTGACATACATTACTAAAGTGTCTCCACATAAAACATAGCACCTTCATGTCCGCAGCAGCTGGATGGATGGGATCTGTGCACACAGAGCATCCATTTAAAATGCCTTCACTGGAAACAGCATATGGCAGAGGTATGGCTACTCTTTACTCCATTCAGTCAAATCCACATGCCTGCAGGCTGCTCTCTGCAGAATTAGCTGTAAGTGAAGTAGTAAAGGTCCTGCTGGACGGCCATGAGCAGCCCCGGCGCTCCCCGGACGCCCCCCAGCCGAGATGAGAAGGCCACACTGGGAATGTTGGTCCTGGAGGTGGGATGTGGGGAGGGTATGGTTCTGAGCAGGTGGGTATCGCGGAGGCTCCAGATTCTCGTGTAGCAGTCCTGGCCCACTAGGAGAGGGGAGACAGACACGCGGCAGGTTAGCGAGAGTGCAGAGAACTCGTGTGCATGGCTTCTCATGACTCCCTGGGAGCCAGAACACAAACCCTCAAATGGAAAATTTTTCTACTGGTAATATGTAGTTTTTGAAAATCAAAGTTATGGGTCACCCTGGTGCTCTAGAACCATAACTAGTTGCATGTATTCAAAGTGACAAGCTGCACCGACTAGCTGTGTGACACCCGGGAGGACTTGCTGGTTGTCCGGCTAATGGGTGGGCTCTGCGCTGCTCAAGAGGGAGCCCAGCCCACCTGGTCTCGATGACATGCAACCGCTTTCCTATTTATAAAACAGTAGCCAGGAAGAGCTAATGACTTCATTACACCTGGGGACAAACTAGGTGCAACTCTCCCCAGAGCTCTTTCTGGCTTCACGGCTTAGTTCTCAAGACCACGTGGCCGTCAGGGCTCAGTGATGAGGAATGCGACACTAGCACCACTGGTTCCGGTGGTCCAGACACATGGTATGCGTCCTGGGGAGCTTCAGGGGAAGAGGGCAGGCACCCGAGGGACATACAGCCGGTTGCTCCTGTAGCGCAGGTCACTGACCCTGCAACTGGCCCCCAACCCCCATCTGCCTGTCAACAAGGTGTCTCTCTTCTCTATTAGCCAGAACACTGAACTCTTCTGCGCTGAAAACCCGTGGAAAACAGACTAAAAGGAAGCAGCTTAGAGGCTAGACAGCTCTGCTTCCTGTTCTACAGAGCATGGATCCAAAGGGATGGTGTTACAGGAGCCAGGCATCAGTTTCTTTACAATGGCCTTAACTTCTTTTTCCAGCATCCTCTTCTGGAAACACACACAAGTTCAAAGAACAGGGAGCCCAAGCTTTTTGACAGAAGTTGCATAATGGGATAAGGTCACACTGAATGCTGACCTGGTGAACAGATGGAAACCCTACATCCAAGTCTCCCAAACTGCTGTGCTACTGCACCTGACCTGCCTGCTACTGAAATGTTTGTCCGCTGATGTGGGAACAAAGGGCTGTCCCATGTAGTCTTCCCAATCCCGACAGTCCACGATCCCTATATTCTGTTCTGTTTTAAAGTAATGTCTCCCTCAGCCGCTTCAGATGCTGGGGGCCTAAGGGATAGAATTGGTGGATGGAACCGCCCCTGCCCCAAGTACCGGCCACCAGGATTCCTTCCTCTTCATGCACGTGCAGGGGCAGGCGGGCGTACTCGTTCACGTGACCTTCGTACTGCCTTGCACACTTGGTGGTCCTCAGGTCCCACAGTTTGATCTGAGGGAAGAAGCACAAGGGACCATTAAGGAGGGTCCAGCAGGGACACTGGTGAACCCCAGGAATGAGGGAGGGCAGGTGGTCTCCAAACACCTCTTCCGGTTAGAAAAATCTAAGCCTCAAACTCCTGAGACCTAGACTCCATCAAAAGCACCAGAACCAGTTCCACGTCTGTCTAGACCAGACTGGGCTCCCAGCAAAGCAGCCTCCTGCACAGCCTACTGTACCTTTCCAGCCATGTCGGATGCCACCAGGCACTGCTCCTCCTGGAGGACTTTCACAGATGTCACCGGTGAGTCGTGGAACAGGCTAGTGGCCTTCCAGTTATTGCCTTGATTTCGACATCGAATATCAATGGCAAAGATCTCCCCAGAGCGACAGCCATTAAACAGCAAAGGAGTCTGTGGAAAGAGGGACTGCTTGGTACCTCCCGCTAAGGCCGGGAGGGGTGTGCCCTCCAGAACACAGCCCTCCGTCCCCTCCCCCGCCCCAGCTCTCCGGGATCAGAGGTGTGGGTGGTCAGAGTGTGAGCCTCAGTGGAGCTGGGAGGGTTCCTAATGAAAGCAAAGAACTGGGCCCATGTGTCCCCCCAAGGTCGTCCCCACTGGCTGCACTGGCCCCTTAGGCCTCACTCTAAAGCCCCAGTGATGGCGCCCTATCTCCACCAAGATCGTGTGCGAAGCTGGGGTGATGAGGATGGAGTAGGAGAGATCAGAGGTCCAGGTAAGACATGGGGTCCTAAATAGAGAGGGAAGATGGCTGAAGAAACCTGAATTAATGAACTCTGTGCTTACTGCTGGAAGCAGATTGGCATACTACCTCCTCATTTCTAAAGAGAGACAGCATTTTCTGTGGAACAAGTTTTTGAAATACAATAAGACTAGAATTTTGATTTTTTTAAAAAATATATTTTATTGATTTTTTACAGAGAGGAAGGGAGAGGGATAGAGAGTTAGAAACATCTGTAAGAGAGAAACATCGATCAGCTGCCTCCTGCACACTCCCTACTGGGTATGTGCCTGCAACCAAGGTACATGCCCCTGACCAGAATCGAACCCAGGACCCTTGAGTCCACAGGCCGATGCTCTACCCACCGAGCCAAACCGGTTAGGGCAAGAATTTTGATTTTTAAATTTATAAAATGTGTAACTTGAAAGCTGTGTATGAAACTATTAAGGACTATAAACTGGGACTTAATTTATATACTAAAAGAACTGCTTGTGCCCTAGCCAGTTTGGCTCAGTGGATAGAGCATCGGCCCGTGGACTGAAGGGTCCTAGGTTCGGTTCGGTCAAGGGCACATGCCCAGGTTGCGGGCTTGGTCCCCAGTGTGGGGTGTGCAGGAGGCAGCCGATCGGTGATTCTTTCTCATCATTGATGTTTCCCTCTCTCTCTCCCTCTCCCTTTCTCTCTCTAATCAATAAAAATAAAATTAAAAAAAAATAAGAAAAGAAAAAAAACTGCTTGCCAGGCTGGTGTGGCTTCAGTGGTTCTCAACCTTCCTAATGCCGCGACCCTTTAATACAGTTCCTCATGTTGTGGTGACCCCCAACCATAAAATTATTTTCGTTGCTACTTCATAACTGTAATTTTGCTACTGTTATGAATCGTAATGTAAATATCTGATATGCAGGATGTATGTTCAGGGGTCGCCACCCACAGGTTGAGAACCGCTGGGCTAAGTGGTTGAGTATCGACCCATGAACAAGAGGTCCCCAGTTCGATTCCTAGTCAGGGCACATGCCCGGGGTGCAAACTCAATCCCCATTAGAGGGTGTGCAGGAGGCAGACTATTGATGTTTCTCTCTCATCAATGTCTACATCTCTATCCCTCTCCCTTCCTCTCTAAAAAAAAAAAAAAAAAAAAAAAAAAATCAATAAAAACATTAAAAACAAAAAACTGCTTGTCCTATTGGCTAATCCAAGTGCTACTTAAGAACTGCTAACAGTTCATTTAAACAGGAAGTTGTTTAAAGCCAGTTCAGCCAGGCCTTTCTGGATCAGTCAACTTTCACTCAGTAAAGACACATTTAAGAAACCCTTAATCCTTTCTCATGCCATTTTCCTCTGTAAAGGGGGGATGAGGAAGAACTGTCACATGGGAATCCAATTTCAATCCAGCAAAATTTCCACTCTTGGGAAAGTGTATTGGGCCCTTCCCAGTCCCACCAACCATGACGGCAAACTGCTGGGTCAAGACATCACTGCTCGTCCCAAACGACAGCCGGTGTCCCGTCACCACGTTGGTCACCAGGACCCACCGAGACAAGCCTGACAGAGACAGAGATGGGGCGGAGAGACAAGTGTCACTTGTGATCTGGGAGAGGGATTGCGGGATATGGGGATTTAAGGTCTGAAACGTCCTTTTCTCTGGGACCTGGGGTGGCAGCCCTGGCTCACCTGTGCTGAAGCAGTTATTTGCCTGGATGTTCGAGGACCACGCACACGACCAGGCCCCAGGGATCCGGAAACTGCAGAGCATGCCAGGCCGGTCTCCTGCTGAGAGAAGCAGTGAGTGTACAGCATGGCTGCCCTCGAGGGACAGAGACCTTCCCTTCACGCTGCCATGTCAGTAACCACCGATTTGGGAAACCTCCAGGAACAGCTGCTCAGGGGCGTGCAGGAGGCAGCCGAGCAAGGATTCTCTCTCATCATTGACGTTTCTCTCTCTCTCCCTCTCCCTCTGAAATCAATAAAAATATATTTAAAAACAAACCAACAAACTGTGGTGTTAGAAGTCAGGATAGTGGTTCCCTTTAGGGAAATGGTAATTGGGAGGGTATTAGAAATTCTGTTTAACTTGGGTGGTGGCTATATGTACCTTGTGATAGCTGATTAAACTATATACTTAAGACTTGTGCCCTTTATGTATGTTTTATCAATAAAAGAGTTTATTTAAAAAATGTTTTGCTTGATATTGCACATCTAATAATGTGATCTGAGATTGAAGCCCTCTGATCTGTGACTCTATATTGCCTCCCCCATAGCCGCTAGTCTTTTTAACACTTCTTCTGGACGTCAGGAAAGATTTATATATTCATTCTCAGAACAGCCACTTTTGACCAAGGACCCCAGAGAACCAGGGTGTCTTTTTTTGCTACCACAAAACCCAGGATGTTTTGTGGGATTGAGCCTATAAACTGGCAGGGGCGGGGGGGCATGTGCCCTGACCAGGAATCAAACCGTGACCCTCAACCACTGACCCACATGGATCAGGCCACAGATTAGTTTTAAAGGCAAATTCTGAACTTCTCTTGGCCTGTTTCTTCAACTGTAACTTGGTGATAATACCTGCTCCATACACTAGCTATTCAATGAAATGCCAGGCCCTATGCCAAGTGTACGTGACTTCATTTAACACTCCTGATGGGTGGGTATCATCTTCATTCTACAGAGGTTAAGTAATCTGTTCAAGTTGGGATTCATGCTGGTCTGCCTGAAGCCTGTACTCTTAGAGGCCTGACCCTTGTCTAACTGATCCTAATTCTCTGAAAGGCTGGAAACTCAATTTTCAAAATGCTGCCAGGAAGAAGTCCAGAATTCTGAACTGCCTTCAGCCAGAGAATGTAAATATCCCTAATAACACCAGTGGGCCACACCTTTGTGAATGATCTGTACCAGCAGCTCAAATGTTTTGATTTCTTGCATTGATTACACATACTTTTAAGTGTTCTGCCCCCTGAAATGACCCAAAAGAAGGAAATATGTAAAGATGCCAATGCATCCCTGACCAGTGTGGCTCAGACAGTTGGGCATCGTCCTACGCACAGTTCGATGCCTGGTCAGGGCACTTGCCTGGGTTGCTGGCTCAACCCTCAGTAGGGTACGTGCAGGAGGCAGCCAATCAATGATTCTCTCATCATTGATGTTTCTCTCTCCCTCTCCCTAAAAAACAATGGAAATATTTTTAAAAAAGAAAGATGCACATGCTTCCAGTACGAATCCTGGGTCAGGTGTAAGGACTCCCCACAGGTGCTTGCTGTCCTCATCCTGCGAGCTCTGATTGGTTCACTCAGCCTGTGGTTCCCACCCCTCCTTGTCCAATCCTTCGCCAAGGAGCTTCTGGTGTTGTTGGCTGTAGCCTCTGGGAGGCAGAGGACAGAGACCTCTGTCACAGCACCCCCTTATTAAAAAAAGGGGGGGGGCCCTGTACCTGGATGACTATTGACGAACAGTGACGCTGGGAGCAGGGTGGCACAGCCCGGAGTCTCTGCGATTCCCATGAGGCACAGCCTGGAAACTCTGTTAAGGACAGTCAAGTACAAGCTCTCCTCTGGGAGGAGAATGGGCATTAGTGCCCTTCAAAAAATTACAAAAATAACACCCGTAAATCCAGATTTAACACATTCACATTTCCCATATTTAGTTTCAGATGTTTTTAAAGGAAAAAGTGTCACAGACACAGCTAACAGCCCTCTCTGACCCTCCCCAGCCCAATTCTCCCTTTTCCTCACCCAGAAAGAAGCACTGTTCTAAAATTGGTCTGTGTTCTAGGCCATGTTATCCTGCCACAGCATATTTGTCCATGAGCAATAGAAAGAACTGTTATTGTTTTAAAAACATATGTAAACAGTATCACACAGATCAATCTCCATTGTCTTCTAGATTTATCAGTGTTGAGGTTTGTAGCCCCAGTTCCTTCATTTACACCATTCTTTGTATAAATGCATCACAATTGATTTATTCGTCTTCTGCTGGGCACTTAGGTTGTTGTTTCTCTTTTTGCTCTTCTGCTGGAATGAGTGCCTTCCTGTCTCTCAGGCCCATGTGTGGGAGCCTTTCCTAAGGCAGTATTTCTTAATCCCAGAGTAAGAATTTAATTTTACAGTACTACATGCCATACACACACAAATATTTGAAATAAAAGTTTTACAAAATATTAGAGGCCCGGTGCACAAAATTCGTACACTGGGTGGGTGGGTGGGGGGTTTCCCTCAGGCCGGCCTGTGCCCTCTCACAGTCCAGAGCCCTCTCACAGTCCAGGACCTCTTGCTCCTTACCACCCGCCTGCTCGCTGCTTCTTACCGCTCGGCTCGCTGCTCCTTAGCGCTGCTGTGGACTGTGCTCGCCAGCCCTTTGCCCGGCTTCTGGCTGAGTGGCGCTCTCCCTGTGTGACCTCCTACATTGAGCGCCTGCTCCCTGGTGGTCAGTATGCATCATAGCAACCGGTTGTTCTGCTATTTGGTCAATTTGCATATTAGGGTTTTATTATATAGGATTTGCCCTTACTAAGTATGAAACTCATATTTTCTAGTCTATTTCACTTAAAAAATGCTGCTCACAAATTCCTTTCATAGCCACTGACAGGCCATGACCTGCAGCTTGGAAGCTGCTCCTATGTCTATACCTAGAGTGGATGGGCCTGTGGGTTGTAAGGTTCTTGCATCCCCAACTTCCAACTTAAAGTGGTTATATCAATGCACTTATCCAGCAATGTTCCCCATTCTCCACATCTGTCAAATCTTGGCACTATCAGACTTTGAAAATTTGTGCTTATCTGAAAGGGTAAAAATCTTCCCATTATTTAAATTCGCATTTCCCTAACCATAACTGGGTGTACTGATTCATCTGATTAGTCATGTGGGTTTCCCTTTTGAACTGTCTCTTTATATTCATTGCCTACTTTTCTATTGTACTGTCTTCTGATTGATTTGGTTCCTCTCCCTTTCCCTTCACAGCCTAACTTCTCTCAATCAGAACCTACATTTATCCCCACTCCTTGCCTTTCTTTCACTCAACTCACTAAAATCCAGGTATGACACCTTTCCAGTAAATGTCCTCCCCAAGGTCTCCAATGAGCCCGTTTCTGAATCTGATGAACACCCTCCAGTCCTGTCCTGTGGTCATGCAGCACAACTTCTAACTACATACTCCTTGTTCTCCACGCCACCTCTCTTGGAGTTCCATCTTTGGACTTTTCCAAACACCAACATGGCCTGGCCCGGGTCCCAAGCCTCTCAGACTCGTGCCTCTCCTCCACTCCTGCTCATCACTCACTCCCTCTCCACTGCCTGCTTAATCTTGCAGCAGCCTCTGTCTGAGGTCTCACCGTCGTCAGCCTGTATAAGAAATGACTCCATGATCACAGTCTTCCATGGGCATCCCACATCCCTGAGGATTCAGTCTTGCAAGGCCCTCCTTAGCCAGAGACATCATGGATACCCATGTGCATGGTCTCCTGACTCTTTCTCCTGATGGAGCACTGGCCCCTTCTTTCCATGTAGGAATCACCTCCAGGCAGGCTGACCCAATACCTGCATCCCTCTGAGATCCAGCTGCAACACAGACATCACTACAGACTGATCACCTGTGGAGCTGCCCATCTCCAGCACTTTGCACAGGTATTGTATATGCTCAGTAGATGTTGGGGGAATGAATACACATACATACCTCATCAAAAAATATAAATATTTGCAAAGCAAACAGGCAACATTTTTGGCAGTCTGTCTGATGCGTGTGTGTCATGTTGCCTTAGATAGTAAGTACAGTGGGGCCTTGACTTATGAGTTTAATTCGTTCCGTGACAGAGCTCGTAACTCAAATTACTCGTATGTCAAATCAAAAGTGAACGAGTGAGACACGTGATGCTGGGCTGATGTTGTGGCGTTCACTGTGACGTTTGCTGCGCCAACTAGCGGTGGGGTATCTGAAGCTGGCTCGTAACCCGAATTTTAGCTCGCAACTCAAAGCAAAAAATTGGCCGAGAGACGGTCGTATCTCGAAAAACTCGTTAGTCGGGACACTCGTAAGTCAAGGCCCCACTGTATCTCTAGTGTGGAGGGCAAGGATGTGGGGAAAAAGTCCTTACACATGCACTTTCAGTTACGTGGCTGAAACCCAGGTTACAGCCAAACTTTGGAATGACTTACAGGGCCAGAATTGTAGATTTAATCCTGTAACAGGCCATAGGTTAACAAAGGGCCTAGCAAGTGTAGAAGAGAATTTAGTCTAACCTTCCACCACTCTTTGGGGAAAATGCAGAATGCAGGTCTGAAAAGGTACCATTTTTGTAAAGGGAGCAAGCTCCATGTTCTGCAGCAGGAGCAGCAGGTGCATAAAAGCCTGAAGATTACCCGAGATGACCACCAGAGGGCAAGCCGCTGAGCAAGCAACAACAAACCATACTCTTCATACTCTTCAAACCCAATTACACGGATTTCTATCCTCTTCTCAGCCCACAGAAACATGAAAAAATACCATACTGTTTTTAAATTTAAAAATGAGAGTGAGGTTGTTGTTTTCTCTCTCTTTTAAGGCTTGGCCTCTTCTGTCCTCTGGTAACATCATCACAGTCACAGGTGGTGCCATCACCCCAAAAGAAAGCCACATAAAACTTTCAATTTATCAAACACACAGTTTTGTTTGTCTATGTAAAATTTATAATCAGATCTCTAATTTAGGCTCTAAAACCCTTTGAAACAGAGTCACTGTCATACATTTAAAAACAGGTTCAGATTCAGCCATCATTTGTTGAGGACCCACACGTGCCAAGCACTGTGCTAAGTGCATTCACAGATGTTAACTGTTAACGACATGGCAACTCATGAAATAGGTGTTGGGTACCAGTGGTCATCATTTTAATAACTCATTTATTATGGAAATGATTCAAGTCAAGACTCATTAACATGTGGCTTTGGCTTGGGGTCAAACAATATTCTTCTGTGAATCACATGTCGGACAGTTGTCCTATGCATCGAGAAACCCCATGGACCCCAGACGAAGGGCCCAGCTACCTTGACACTGCACTACTGTGCTCCCGGCAAAGAAGCCCTGATGGCTCTCTGGGAAGGCAGAGACTAGAATGAAGAGTGCTCCAAAGAAGGCCATCTCTGCAGAGACCCCAGGTCCAGAGCCCACAGGCCCATGCCCCAAGCCAAAGGAACCCCCTTTCTTTGATGCCTGCCTCAGCACCCACCCCCCAGGAGGCCCACCCCACCTCGGGACGACTGCAGCTCTTGCTCCTACCTCTGCTTCAGGAGGATTGGGGGTTCCTTCCCAAGATGTTACTGTTCCTTTCTCCTTTATTCTCTGCTAAAGTTCATAGTGACCTTAAAGTCACCCCAGGACCTCAACTACTTCCCTGAGCATCATGGGAATCCTTGTCTTTTACCACGCGCAGTGCTCTTACTGAAAGAGTGAAGTATGTGCAGAATGGTCTAGTCTTCTGACTTCTAAGATACCACTTTACAAACCCCACCAAACCTCTTCATCTGCCAAAAGATACAGAATGTGAGAATCCAAGTGATTCAGCGAGGCCCAGCACACAGAGTTCACCTGGTGAGGAAGCACATAGCAAGACGGCAAGATTGGTCTGACCACCAACTCACGGAGAGAAACAGATTCTTTCTTGTGGAATAACTTGTGGGGATAGATCTCCCCTTTAAAAGGGGCTGGAACAAGCATTCTGAGAACAGGAAGCTCCTGTCCTAGCACATAGAGCCTTAAAGAGGAACAAGGAGGAGGTAGCGCGTAGGCCTTAGTCCTGCATGGGCCTCACAGTGAGACATCTGGTAAACCCTGTAGGGCAGGAATGACTTCTCTTCAATGGCAGGAAACACACCTAACTCTGAAGGCATACTGGATCTCACTTTACCCAGAAACCATTTCCATGTCTTGTGGCTCATATCCCAAAGAACAGAAAGTCACAGCTTCTTACCGACAGATGCAGCTGTCACCCCACTGCAGTTTAAAGGTTGCCCCTTAGACATCAAGCTTTTCACATTTATGTAAACCTCAGTGTCAGCCATAGACTGGCTGAGCGACTGACACATCGTCCTGACACTGGGAGGACCCTCCACCCCGGTTACTGCAGCCCACCTCCCAGGAACTATGTGCCTTGTGTGGGCTCCTTCGAATCAACTCAATCCTCTTGAAGGGAAGTCCGTACAACCAGCTAAGGAAGCACCACTTCAAGTCTTCCCACATCTAAATTCTTTTCTCTTTCAAGACAAGGAACTCCTGAGGCCCTTTTCTTCCTCCATGGTTCTCAGGATCTACAACTCCATTTCTCCCTTGGGGAAATGAGGCACAGAGCGCTGGCTTCTTCCCAAAGCTCTCTCCTCTACTCTGACTTTGGCTAACCACTGCAGTGCCCCTGGGCCCAAAGGCAAGTGGGCTGCAAAGCTGAAGGGGAGGGCGGAGTACCTTCCGGTTGGTGAAGTAGAGGTTTTCGTGCATATGCACCCGGAGTGTGGGGGTCTTCAGACCGCTCAGGCTGATGATGCCGTACTTGGAGCCTCCAACCTTGACATCATTCACTGTGAAGAGCCGGTCACTGTTGGTATCCGCCTGGAAAGGGAAAGTGGCTTGTAGGTGACTTCGCAGGCCTAACACCATCTGTCCATCTCTCACAGCCCCCGTGTCTGCATATGCACCAGGTGAGAGCTCCCGTCCATGAGGGAGTGGAGATGACCTGAGGGGAACTCACTGCAAGAAAGTATTCAGAGCAAATGTCTCCCCAAACACATATGGGGGGAGTGAGTCCTGGCCCCTGACACCCTTATGAGGAAGGGCTCTGCTATCGAGGTCTCCTGGGGCAAGATGTCAAGGGTCAATTCTGCAGCTTCAGCCCCTAGTCCTGTCAGCAGGTCATCAGGCTGAGGCTCTTTTTAAAAAATATATGTATATATATTTTTTATTGATTTCAGAGAGGGAGGGAGAGAGAGATAGAAACATAAATGATGAGAGAGTCATTGATCGGCTGCCTCCTGCACGCCCCTTACAGGGGATTGAGCCTGCAACCCAGGCATGTGCCCTGATGAGGAATTGAACCTTGACCTCCTGGTTTATAGGTAGACATGCAACCACTGAGCCACAATGGCCAAGTGAGACTCTTTGTTTTGTGTGTCTCTCTTTCCTGGGTTTTCCCTAGGCCTCCAGGAAAGACAGGGCTTGCTGGGCAGGCCATGCTCTACTGTGACCTCGAATCCCCAGTCTACCTGAGCAGGCTGGCTCCTGCCGTTTGCAGTGGATCCTCTGCCAACATTTCCCTAGACCCTGGACTCAAGTAGTTGGCCCTGGCTTTCAGCCTGGGTCTAACCAAGAGAAGATTTTTGCTCCCTGTAAATGGCATGATGATGGTGGGTGTGCAGGCCAAGGGTCACAGGCTTACAGGCCCCTGCTACTCAGGTCAGAACAGCAAGCAAGGGAGTAACCTGCTGTTGCTACTGAGGACACGGGAGCACTAGGGTTGGCTACCAAATCCTGCCCAGTATAGGGAAGATTAGAAGCTCCCGAACCACTGTGAGCCCTTCTGATGGTTCTCAGTCAATGTGAGGTGGGCCCTGATTCTCATGTCAAATGACAGAGCTGTAGTAGGGGGGACAATGGTCGCCATGGCCTTCTTTGCCAGTTTGGCACCTGCCAATGGGTAGCCAGTAGGTGCCTGTTAAAACTATAAAACCTAGTGGACACATGCTTTTATGCAACTGGCATCTACACAGCCAGGCATGATGGGAGCCAATGCCAGGGCATAAAGTGTCGGGCACGGCAGCAATATCCCCGGCAACCACATGTGGCTCCCTCCCACTCACCATTATGAGGTTAAATCGGTCGCTTGCCAAAGCGGAGGGATCGGAGCTGTGAATCTGAACCTTCTTCCTCTGCATGCAGCTCACTCGCAGCTCATGGGCTAAACTGCAGGAGGAAAGAGAGGGCATGGGCACCACACCTAGACACCCATGAGGAAGATTCAGAGCGTCTGCCCTGCCCCACACCCTGAAGACCACCTCACCTCGTTGGCCCTCTCCCTATTATCTCTCAGCAATGGAAATGAGCAAGATTCCAAATAAATCCAATTTTAGAACTCTCAGGAAAACTAAAGCAAAGAAATGAGCGGCCCATTTACAGGGTCAAAGGAAGTTAGAACTCGAGGAATCTGTTTTGGGATTATCTGGTACAACTCTTTCTTGAGACCAAGAGAAGGTGCCTGAGAAATGAAACATGTCGAAGGGCACACACCCAGCTATGGGAAGGGCCCAGGCATGCGGCCGCCCATCTTACTGCCCCTTCCCCCTCCATGAAGGAGAAAGCATGTTTTAGGGAGAAGAACAGGTCTTTTTACCTAGATACTTATCTCTTTTAGGGAAATGAAGGAGAGGCAGGTTCCTACCTGCCCTTCCTCATACCTCCTGCAGGGCTGGCCTACAGGGAAGGCGGCCTTGCTCCAAGATGAGAGCTGTGTCCCCTATAAACCACCCAAACTCAGGGTGTTTCTTCCCCTGTCCACACACAGTGGGAGGCAGCAGAACACAGGGGTTAGGAGCTCCGGTTTGGGAGTCAGACAGATCCCATCCTTTCTGGCTTTACCTTGAGAAAAATCACTCCATTCTGAGCCTCAGTCTCTTCCAGAAACCAGAGGAGGTGTCTGCCTATCTCACAGGGTTTTAGTTAGAATTATATCAGGAATCACAAGTACTTAAATAAAGTTTAGTGCACATACATCTATTTAAGGTTCCATTTTTTGTAACTGATTAGGTAAAGAGAAAAGGAGGCAGAAATCTCACAGGAATGAAGTGATAAGACCTACTACTAAACTAAACACGATTTATAAGTAACGGAGAAAACATCCTGAGAAATTTCTGCCCAATTTCTCTGCCTAGGTCCCCTCTCCTCTCTCTGGCCTGCGGACGTGTGCCCCGTGCTCTAGGAGTGATGCTCTCAGGGCTGGTTCAGCAGCAGACGGCAGGCTGTGAGCTAGAGCTCCTCAATGGTGAAGGCTCCTCACAGAGCAGCTATGAGCTATGTGGTCTCCTGACTGGATTTTTGGGCCATGGAAATAAAAAACAGAAAAAGAATACTTGTGAAGAGGCACCGACTTACCGGCAATAACTGGTGGCGTTGAGAAAACCCAGCTTGCTTTTTTGTAACAAGGAAGTGGCATTAAATCCCATCCTGGTTATTTTCTAAATTAAAGAAAAAAAAAATAGAAACAGGTAATAAATTGGCAGAAATTATATGCATACAAACCGATGTCTCCTTGGCTGGTCTCCCATCGTGGCAAGAGGAAAAGCCTATCACAAGCAGGAATGTGTGACTGGAAGGTCTGCTCAGTGCCTCTGTCCAAGCCCCCCAGTCAAGCTATACCTGGGGAGAAGCCGCCACGCTAGTGAGTGCAGGAATGGCCCTGGACACTCAGGTCTGCATCGTGCTTTCCATTCGACCTATGGGGACCCAGGGCCCCGGATTTTCCATTCTGTTGCCCTGTAACCATCCAAATGTCCTGGCATCTAAGAAACCCTCATATCCAAACCATGTACTCTGGTTTTCTATTTAAAATATACAGTTATTGAAACTGTATCATGCTGCTTTTCAAGATTCCCCCAGGGAAGGACAAATGTTAGAATTATTGAATTACTGATGAAACTTTGCAAATTGGGAAAGTGGAGTGGGAGGGGATTGCTCGCTTGTTCTATTCTCTTCGTCAGGTTCCTGTCAGGGAAAAGTCAACACCACATCCCAGAAGTGCACTAAGCGGAGCGTGCAGGGGCGCTGAATGGGCACCCGCCTTCAGCCGTGGGTGCAGGCTGGCAGGGGTGAGGGGACAGGCGGCCCCCCGAGCGTGGAGCCCACCTTTGTCTGCCTGTCCTCTTCCTCTAGCAGCTGCAGCCTTTTGTGCTCCATCGCCTTCTGCTGGATGCCCTCCTTCGTGAGGGGGTTGCAGTTGTTATGTCCAGGGAGCAAGCGGAAGTACCGATTCTTTTCGGGGTCAAAGTAATACCCTGGTAGATCTTTAGTCAAAAGAAATAAAATCCAACTTAAAACACTGTGACCTGACCCTTCTAGAAAGGAGCCCAGTGGCCTGTCCACCCCCGCTCACAGCTGCCTATCTTTTCTAAGGGGCGGGAGGTGGGCTAGCATTGTCAGTCACCATCCTGGGCCCAGTTCAGGGATGGGGGGTGCTGTTTGCCTCAGGATCACAGTTCTTGGCATACCCAGTTCCTCCCTTTACTGTTCCGATTTGCTCCCAGAATTTCCTCTAAGCCCAAATGAGCTGGTAACACACATGGAGTTCACCCTCATGCAAGTGCAGACACACAAGAGGAAGGGCGGCCTGAACAGACATAACCAGCTGACGAGTCAGGACTAGGTTTCATCTTTCCCTGTGGGGAGGGCCAGGAGTCCTAACCAGCAGACTGCCTTACCTGGCACAGAAGAACTCCCAGCTGTGCTGGTCGAGGTCGACGGGACCTCCCCATCGCCGTGGTCAGAATCCTGTGGGCTCTGCTGTGCTTCTGTGTTACACCTGTCGACACAGTCATGGTAACTTGCAGGGAAGGGCTGGAGACCCAGTCATTCTCTGACTGTGGGGTCCTGGCAGGGGTAGCTCAGGCAGTGCCACAGCCTTCACCCCGGACCCTCTCACCTTCCATTACTTGGGAAGCATTAACCCCGCTTTTCCTTAAAAGTAGTTTACCTATTGCAAACACACCAGTTAGAGCAAGGTTTTGTCTCTCATCCTTAAGAGGATGCATGTCACAGTAATTCCCTTCTCATCTCCTCACTTGAGCACTTCATGAGGTCTTTTGGAATTTTCTGGATGAAAAGAAGACCAGAAATCTTTGCCAGTAAGAATTCTACCATGCACCCCTATGTTCATAACAGCACAATTTACAATAGCTAAGATTTGGAAACAGCTTAAGTGCCCATCAGCAGATGAGTGGATTAAAAAACTGTGGTACATCTACACAATGGAATACTATGCTACGGTAAAAAAGAAGGAACTTTTACCACTTGCAACAGCATGGATGGACCTGGAGAGCATTGTGCTAAGTGAAATAAGCCAGTTGGAGAAAGATAAATATCACATGACCTCACTCATATGTGGGATATAATGAACAACATAAACTGATGAACAAAAACAAAACAGATCTAGAGACAAAGAAACACTGAACAGACAGTCCAACCTCAGAGAGA